TATCTTTCTCATTGTTGTCAGTTGCACAATGAGACTGTAAATTATGAATACTCTGTTCAGTCATTTTTCTTCATTTCTTGTTTTTTCATCAAATACTTTCAGTCACGATCAGATCCATATAATAATAAATAGTTGATGTTTTCTATATCTTTTAGTAGATTCACTTTCTGGTTTAATGAAATTTAACACTTGAGTTGTTTTAAATATTGCACATTCTTTCTTCACATAGGATTATAAAGAATGAATGATTAATAAATAAGAAACTGAGTGTTCATTTCAGAATTCGAGAACGAACAGGAGTCGCTGAAGCACAGATCAATGTGGGATCTCAATTTGTTATACCTATTTATTTATAACAAGATTTTATCATATTCCTATAAGGGATTTATTTCTTCTATACCTACTTCAATTTTTTTCGTGAGAATAATTTTCTAGCCTTTGTTACTTTCATTTATTTCGTTTCAGAATGATACATTATTGATAACAAGTAATACGAGAAAATACGATGTGTAGACGTGTTCGAGTTTTTTTTTCTAACCTATACTGCAAGACTGTAGTATAGGTTTTTCTTTCATCTGAGTGTATGCAGGTCATAAGTTGTTAACTATGCAAAATGGGGGACTTTTCTATGATCTGCTTTACACTTTTGTGATAGGGATTCTTTTTATGTTAGTGAAAAAACAGGGACAAGATATAGAAGTCCACTGAAACTCAGGTAAAAGTACTAGAAATGGACAGAAATTGGACGAAGTATGATGAATCGAAAAGTACCTCGTTGTTTTTGGTAATTCCTGGCTAACTTCGGCGAAATCTGTTTGTTTCCAGGCTGTCTGCAGTCATCGATCTGAAAACGAATACTTGTGAAAGCATTGTCTCAAAATACTTGTAGAGATCAGTCTGGTACGTCTTATACAGCTGTTAAACCTCTTTTCCTGACAAACTTAGCATTTTAATGTCAATTTAGTAATCATTAAAAGAATGGTTTGTTTCATCTATTTTAATTACAAATTTAAGTAATAGAAAACGAAAAATTTCACCTGCAGTTCTCTTCTCAGTTCCATTCTCATACACAATCTCATCGAGCTCTAACGATGAATAGGAAACGTTTTGAACTATTATCCATTTCAAAATATAAGAGCCGTGACCATTTTTTGAATAACTTTTGATAGGAGCAAGATAGAGAGGTGCGGTTTTCGCCATTAGAAAGAGACGACCCAGGCGCATCAATACATGCTAAAATATGATTGGTTAGTAATGGACCAATCAGGTGCATTCTCGATGGACATTTTGAGCACCCTTATCTGGAGCCATTCCTCAACTTAACNGTTGTAGGTGTCGTTTGCAACCACACCCATACCCTCTAGTTTTTGAAATCACATACATAGTGAAAAGGTACTATTTTGAGACTTCCTAACCAACGGTTTTGATTACGATTGATGCGTGGTTACCATTAGACAGCGATTGTCGAGTTCTACGTGCAACCGGACTGGAACACGTTCCTGGACGAATATGGAAAGGTTTTACTCGAATATGGAGCTAACTTCACCTACGTATGAAAAACATTGAAATTTTTGTTCCTATGAAAATGAAATTATTATCCATTTCAGAATTAAATGGCCGTGGACATTTTTCGAATAGCCTAAAAACAGAAAGAGAGAAGTAACTTGAATTTTTATGTATCATCTAGAGTTGACATTGCTCTGTCTTTTTACAAAGACGATGAAAATTTTCTGTCACTTTTCATGGGTATATCGTGAGTTTTGAAGATGAACTTAATTCGCTTTGGAAACGAAATACTTTCTCAACTATAATATAATGAGCAGATAGTCTGGCTTTTCCTCTTTCCATCCGCGAAATGCCGAGATTGATCATCATTTGTGTTCAAAAGATATAAAGATTTTTCTGAAAGCTAGTCACTAAATTTTTTTTAAACCTTAGTATCTAACACATTTGCCTAGTAACAATTGTCAGTGGCTTTCGTCTTCGTCATATGATTTATTCACCTGTGGAATGTTTTTCTTAAGAAAACATGTTTGAAGAGCATTCGTTGGATTTAGGTGAGTGAATGTGGGGTTTAGGAGTAATGTGAGAATGAGTTCAAGCAAAGATGATGTTGTTTTCCAATCGCTATTCTACCCAAATGTCTTAAGAGAGACACGGTACCTTACATCGCATAGAGTTAACCGAGGGAGAAACAACGGACTTCAAGAGAATTCAACAGCGGAGACATCAAATTTTCAAAAGACTTCATGCGACTTAAAAAAACTTAAAAGATTTCATGAGACTTCAGACTACATGAGCGTTCGAGAAGCCTTAGAAATAGCATCCAGCTTGTGTGCCATTCAAAACATACTATGTATTAGATAAAGATAACAAAAGAATTTTCTTTTCTGCGAGGTAAATGTAGCTAAAATATTTATTTCAAAATTAGTAACTTTTCAACGGATTTGTTCTTTTTTCGTCATCATCAGACTCAATTCAATTCCAATACACCATCAATAGAAAACTTACTCAGAACCATTATTCATAATTTCAACATTTGTTTCAAAGATAAATACCCATAGTAATTTGAAATAAAAATTTTTAGCTGCATTTAATCATGAAAAAGAGCTACTTAGTAATTTGAATATATTAACTTCGTCAAAGAAATACAATGCTTTTGAACTACATGATTTAAGTAAAAATATATTTGACAACATTAGATTGAACATTAATTCAGATAATTATTCGATTGCTGATTCAGATTCACCATCAACTTCTGACTCTGATTATGAGGATGAAACAATGGAAAGTAATGAAGTTGATAAAGATCTGTTCAACTTGGTTGAAGAAGATCAAGACGTGACAATCACACAAAGTATTGATGAAATGAAAATTAATAAAATGGTCTTTAATGATATACCTGTATTTCATTCGATCAATCCAGCATTGAAGAGCTCCTATTTTCAGATGCAAATAAATAATAAGTCTAAGTTTATACATAAACAAATGGTTTGTTGATTATTGACTAATAAAGATAGCCCTTTATCGGCTGATAAAATTTCATGAGTAAAAGAAGCAAACAAAAAAGATTAAAATTCTTTGTAAAACTGATATCGAATTGATAGAACACTTCTTATGCAAATAAATAAGTTCATTAAAAAGAATTGAACTATTAACTATGCTTTTTTTAAATTTCAAATCAGCACAAACTTTTCCAGCGGATTGAAAAACAATAAAAGCTCACGTTTTTGCTGAAATAAGATCATGAAAAATCTTACTGCTTCATTTGTTTTCTTATGAATTTTCTGTTCACTAAATGTTCGTCAAAAATTCCAAAAGACTTCATAAGAGTTCATGAGACTTCAAAACCGAAGTCTCAGTTGTTTTCTCCTCAGAGTTAACCTGGTTCAATATGAAAGTATATATACGTGATAGAAACATCAAGTTTACTGTAACTGAAGTGAGCAAACTGGAACAAAAATGATGTATAGCTTAAGTGCGACGGAGGCAACCATTTACATCAGTAATATCAAACAATATGAGACAATATTTAAGAAGGCTAATATTTATGTTGAACAGATGGAAAAAGATCTAAATGATCATGAGAATTATAGTACCTATAGTACAATTGATTGTAACGACAAACTGGATGAGTAGCTTGCCGCCACTCTCGGTCATGATGTTTATTTGCTACTTCACATAATTTACAATACACGCGCTTATGTAGGAGAGAGGGAGAGATGAATACAGGAAAGAACAATAGAGAGAGAAAAGACAAAAGGAAAGTCAGCGGAAGGTGATATCAATATCGGGAAATTGATGCTGATGAGTATTGACTTTTACGTTAAATTTACATAAATATCTTAAAATTCTTTTCAATTGAAACGATCTAGATTTACGGAATGCTAATTCATTATCAACAAAATAAGTTCAACATGTCACTTTTGATAACATTTTTTAATAGAAAAAACATTCCGAAGGTTAATAAATCAGGTGACGAATACTACTAAAAACTGTCACTAGACAATATTTGTTAAATACTAAGATTTTCAAAAGATTTAATGGATAGCTTTCAGAAAAATCTTTATATCTTTTGAGCGTACATTGTAATCAATCTTGTTCTTTCAGGGATTGGATATAGGGAAAGTCAGGCTATCTGCCCATTATATTATAGTTGAGAAAGTATTTCGTTTCCAAAACAAACTAAGTTCATCTTCAAACCTCACGATATACCCATGAAGAAAAGTGACAGGAATTTTTTGTTGTCCTTGTAGAAAGATAGAGCAATGTCGACTCTAGATAATATGCAAAAATTTAAGCTACTTCTCTCTTTCTGTTTTCAGGCTATTCGAAAAATGTCCACGGTCATTTAACCTTCAAATGGGCGATAGTGAAAAAGTCTGATAGATATCTTATGTTCATCATTCAGTGTCACGATTCTAAAAAGCTGTGCCACATTGATGTTTATAAATGGCGCCCTCTATTTACACAATACACTTTTTGGGTCGAAAACTGGTGTGAAATTCAAAACAGAACCACAATAATTTTTATCAATTTACTACTATTGAAAGGAACTAGAGCTTCTGTTGGCAGTCTAATCAGCACGTATAAGTGCATTTTTTACTATTGCTTGGCTATTTTGTCCATACACTCTTTGCTCTAACTGCACACGACATTTGGCGTTTTTTTTTTTTTTTATAAAAAATCGTTTATTTTGATTCACATAGAGAAGAAAAAACCAAATTTCCAATATAGAATGATACAATGAGCGCCATCAATGAAATCAAATTAATTCAATAGATGGCGTCTCATCAGCCCGATATACATTGGATAAAAACTAACACAAATGACAAACAATTTTTACTTCAGTCATTTTTGCTTTTGTAGCCAACAATGACTGATGAAAAAGGAACAAATATCAGCGATGAAGTGGAAAATTCTCCTCGACTACCACTCAGTATAAATATTGATATTCTTTTTGATGTTCTATATTCTATTCTATCGTTTGTTTAGAATTAATGTTGGAAACAAGTAATAATTCACAAATTGAACGTAATATTCATAATGTTTTACGTAAAAATTTTCTTGAACAACGATCAATAACATGGAAACCAATTAAAGTTGAATTACTTGTTAATACACAATTAACAGATGAGTTTTTCGGTAAATATATTTTTTGATTCGATGTTTCTTTTTTCGCTGTGTTATTATCAGGATCGACTTCGAAAAAAAAACAATAGTATTTTCTAGTTATTCATCTTTACAAAATCTGAATTGGTCGGTTAAAATTTTCGTTGTGAAAATAAATACTAATCCAATCTTTTTTTTTTCCTTTGCATGCTTTTTGTCTGTAAAATTATGTTTTTTGCCAAGTGATTTCTCTCATTCGATCATTATTTATCATGCACAGAAGATAATGAAATATGCATGAAAACAAACAAAATATTATTTAATAAACTAATGACTAATTCATTTTTTTCTTCTAACGCTTTACTTGTAGGGAGTTTGCATGTATGTTGTCTTTTCCTATTTGACAATGTCTAAATAGAGACGTTTTTGAGAATATGCGTAAATACTTGTAATATATCAGCAGTAGCATGTCCTTTTTAGTGTAGAAGAAAGTTTTGTGTCCATATTAATTTGCTGCTTGTTGATATATTTGTCGTATAGGATAAGAATTTTGGAAAAATATGATCAATGATTGTAGTCAATTGACTTCTATACTTTTTAACTAATGATGTCGGATGATGATCTATGCTTGCTTTCTATTTGCTAATTTATCTTTTTTTTGAATGAATTTGATATTGTTTAATCTTTTCTTTTGTCTTTAGCTGTGCGAAAAAAATTTGAAAAAGTCGCTGCTGGTAATCGTTGTGAGTTTGAAGAACGCTATGCTTTTTTAATAGAAAATGATGCACAAATTCTTGATATATGTCACAATGGTTATCATTGCATGGAAACTTCTTTCAATGTTCTAGGTAGATATACACTTATTTACTTATATTGAACACATTCTTTAGCTGTATTTACTAATTTGACGATCTTTCTATAGAATATAGGGAGCAAGAAAAGAGAATGTTTTTAACAAACTCTTGTTTTTGTAATATGTGTGAATATATACTTGCTTAACTTTTTCCTTATCCCGACACTATATGTATCGGTTAGTGTGTATATAATCTTAAAAATTTGCTAATTATTATTCGTAAGTATTTATATCACAATCATTGGTGTAGATCGCCCTATTTCTATCACTTACTACTTGTTCTTTTTTTTAATCTAAATATCGTTCTAAATGGTTATTGAATAATTGCGCTGCTCTTTATATTTCGGTTATTGTTTTTGTTAAATTTTCAACAATTATTAAAATTCTCACATTGCATTATTATAATTATATTGATTGTGATTCTCTTTCCTTTTTGTTTTTACTAATCCTTAGAAAAATAGTAGCATTTCGTTCTTATTTAAATTCTTTGTTTTTTGCTATTGTTGTGCGTTCACAATTTGTGTCTCTCTCTCTTTTTCTTTATGTTGAGAAAGATATATATATATATGTTCAGAAGCACTATCAACAAATTTGACCATATATGCACATGATACACTTATATTTCTACTAACCATAAATTGATTATTGTGAAAAAAAAAATTGTTTATAGAATTTGCTTGCATGTATTCTTTGTGTTTTCTTTCCTTTGTTTCTTTTTACATTGGTAAACAGATCTTTTTAAACACACTTATTTAAATGCACATTTGCATGGGGCTTCTTTATTTATTTTGTGTTGAATTCTTTTTTAAATTTGATATTTGTGTGTCTTAGTTATTCGTGTAGGGATCATCAAATATTTGTATCCAAATGGAATATATAAAACAAGCAACAACGTGAGTTTCGAGCGATGATAGATGTTCGGGCTTCTTTCTTCTGTCCCTCTACCTATATCAGTCGCCATTGCATACACAAATTTTTGATGTAATATGTTTCACTTGATTCTATTATCATTATTTAGCTTGCGTTTTTTTAGTATATACTATTGTGATTTTATATNATTTTGCACAAACAACGTCGTTTCTTGCGTTTTTTTAATGAGCGTGAATGGATCATAGTCGCGGTTCCCGATTGTGCGTTTAAACGCGTTTTTTGAAATTTTTGTCTGCTTGGGCACTTTCTAGGTCTTTTCTGACCTGCAGTAAATCTATAGCAAAAACCTCGCAATGAATAGAAAAAAAAACGTTAGTATATAAAATCACAATAGTATATACTAAAAAAACGCAAGCTAAATAATGATAATAGAATCAAGTGAAACATATTACATCAAATATTTGTATCCAAATGGAATATATAAAACAAGCAACAACGTGAGTTTCGAGCGATGATAGATGTTCGGGCTTCTTTCTTCTGTCCCTCTACCTATATCAGTCGCCATTGCATACACAAATTTTTGATGTAATATGTTTCACTTGATTCTATTATCATTATTTAGCTTGCGTTTTTTTAGTATATACTATTGTGATTTTATATACTAACGTTTTTTTTTTCTATTCATTGCGAGGTTTTTGCTATAGATTTACTGCAGGTCAGAAAAGACCTAGAAAGTGTTATTACTTAGTTGTGTACTTTTTTTTTTCATAATAATTATACCATTTATGGTAATTATCAGAGTGATGTTAATTCTTGTATTGTAGCTACATATTGTGACAATATGTAGTTATTATATTGTGTTTGAAAAAATTTCTGATGATAATTTAACATAATTTGCACGACTATATATTAAATAATTAGTTGTCATAAATTAAAAAAATGGACTTTATTTGATTTATAGTCATTAAAATTGTGTCTTTCTATATGTCTAATAATCACTTTCTATTTTAATTCTGCATGTTATTTATATATCTCTATTTCAAATTGAGTGATTATGCAATGATTTGAATCTATATATTTCTGTCATTTTATATTTCCATGATTATTGTCGGTTTTTTGTTTTTTTTTTGTTATGAGTGTATATCTTAGTGTTTTTTATGTATGATTATTATCTCAATGTTGTTGGTATTTTAGGACATAGTAAATATGGTATATACGTTTGCAAATATGTCGATGTATGTATTCGACATGCAAGTGTTCGTCGAACATGGGAAGGTAATGTAGTAATCAAAATGATTGTTTTCAAGGTTAGTTTAAGACTAAAATGAAATCAAAAATGACAAATTTTTCATTGTTTGGTATTTTTTGTTTTCTAGATTGTGGAAGGAAAACAAACAGCAGCTCTTGTGAGAAAAGGATCAAAATTACAACCAATTGCACCAACACCTCAATTTACAAGTCATTGTTCAGTAATTACACCAAAAGAAACTGATGATCTTGAAAAACAATTTGATCAATCACAAGTAAGATGACAAAAAAAAACAATAAATTCTTTTTTTTTTGGTTATCAATTCCATGGATTGTTTTAGATATTTCTTTATGAGTTCGAAGGTCGAGAAACAATCAAACGACCTCATCATTGTCTACCTTATGCAATTGTTAGTCTTATTCAAGATGGTTTGTTTGTTTATTCATTTCTTATAATTAAATGAAAATCTTTTTTTTTTTGATTAATTTTAGGAAGCCAGTGGCCAACAAATTTTGATGATCTAGATACAGAACCAGATATATTAGAAACAGATACATTACGAGTCATTGCACAAACAGACGATCCATTATTACAAAATAAATTAAAGGAAAATGTTCAATTAGCTGAAGCAGCTACACGTGCTCTTGAACATATTTATGAAGAAGAACCACCACCAGCATCAATAGTAGAATATATACATTCACCAAAAACGAATTCGGAAACAATTTCTACAACAGCAATATCAGATAATACATCTACTTCTATTACTAATGGAACAGAACTATCATCATCATCACCGACAGCATCTAATGGGAATCGATCGACAACATCATCACCAGCTACAGGAATATCGACAAATAATAACGAAGCTCCATTGAATTTTACAGCTCCACCGCCACCGCCACCTCCACCTTCAACATCTTCGACATCAACAAGTCCAAGTACTATAGTACCGGCTACAGCTGTAGCTACTACTCTACCATTAGCTCATTCAGCTACAGCTATTCAAGCTGCATATCGACAAACTAGTCTACTTGGTGCAATGCCATCTGCAGCGGCAATGCGAGCATCATCAGGTGTTTTATATGCTACATCAGGTGGTCTTGCTAATGGTCTTACTGGGCAAGTAATCTATGGTGGTAGGATACATTTACATCAAATTTATGTGTATATATCTATATTTAATATTTTAGGTCTTTCATTAGACGCTCTTCGTGGTTATCAAACAGCAGCTACTACAACTCCATTTGCATTTGCTACGCATGCTGGTCAAACAATGCAACAGCCAGCACTTTATGCTGCTCAATTACAAGCCATTGTTCAACAGCAACAAGCGGCTCAATTAGCTGCAGCTACTGCTGCAACTCAACAACAGCAAAATTTATTTAATGGCATACCTGCTGGTTATACATTAGTACGTACAGCTGGTGGTGGTTATGCTTTGCTTGCTCAAAGTCCACCAGCAACTACTGCAGCAATGCAATCACAAGCACAATTTGCACAACAACAACAGCAACAACAACAATATATTTCTTTTAATGCAGCTGGTCAACCAACAGCAACTACAGCACGACTTCCAGTTTCTATGGTTGGCGGCCAATCACAATCAATCATTTATCAATATGCTGGACAACCAACAATACAGGCAACTCCAACACAATATATTCAACTACCAGCTAATTATGCACAACAACAAGGCTTATCAGCGAATGCTGTTATGCAAACAACAAATTCAGCTGCTGCACAAGGTTAATATATTGTTGAGCAAGTTGAATTTTAAATAGAAATTATTTTTAGCTTACATAACTCAAGCACCAACTCATTATATGAGTGCACCACACTCAGCTAATACAAATAATGCAAATGGTTCGTCAACAAATTCGACTTCGGTTGTTTCATCATCAGGCGTCATTCAATCACAACCAACATCAACCGTTATTTCACCGCAAAAACAAAGTGCAGCAACAGCTACAGCTGCTGCTATTCAACAACAGCAACAATATCAACATGCATATCATCCACAACAACAACCATCTGCTAATGGTGCTTCTGCAAATAATATTTATTATGCTGCTATGGCTCAAGCATCAGCTCAGCAACAACAACAACAACAACAACTCAATTTAATGGCTCAGGTAGAAAATCAAAGGAGGCCAGTCGATAACTGTTGAAAGTCACTCCGTGGAGACATTTCATATCTTCTATGCCAAACTATCACACAAGATTTCTGGAACACGATTATATTGAACTGAACGGTTGACAATAATCAGCATCCTTTGAGCACTTCAAAATGGTATTAAAACATCGAGGAAAAAACGCAGGTCATACAAAGACATCTTAAGGAGACTTCTCGAGACTTTTTCCATGATATTTAGTAGATTTCGATTAGAAAAATAAGATTTGGATAAAAACTAATATGATATTCTGAAGCATCATCCAAACTGAGTGAGCTTGCGTGAATTCCAAAAAGTTGTGCAATTCTTGTTTTATTGAAAACTTTCCTCTTGATTCTCTGCAGGATTGGATTCAAAAATGAATTTCATCAAAAAATTATTTTGACAGTAGGAGTTAAGTGCTAAGGTTAAAAAACGCTAGTAGAAGTTTAAATAGCAGGTAAACAAACAATAAAAACATTTTTCGTAGTATTCATTTTTTAACTCAATCCTGAGAACATAAGGGGTGAGGTTTTCGATGAACACAAACGGTTGCGGATATTTTTGGAATTCACATAAGTTCGCTCAGCTTTGGATGCTAATTTAGAATATTGTATCAGTTTTTATCCTAACCGTACTTTTCTAATCAAAATACACTAAATATTCGGCGACAAAAGCACAAAATCATATCTCAAGAATAGTCTCCTTGAAATTTCTTTTCTGTTACTGGTGTTTTTTCAATGATATTTTCATACTTTTTTGAAGCCATTCAAAAGCGCTGGCGAGCCATTTGAAAATGAATCTGGCCGGTCTTCGGACTTATAGACAAAAAAAAACTAGTTATTCTCAACAGCACGGTATAGTGTACATACGACAGTCATTGACTATTCCAATCAGTTAAGACACCTTGAATGAGAGTTTGACATGGCAGAAATAATATTTTCTGGTTAGGTCGATTTCATCAGTTATCAACCTTCCCTCTCTTTTCATATTCAAAAGTAACAACAAATTGAATAATAAATTCTTGTTCGATCTAATTAGATGCAATATGCTACTCAACAAGCTGTACCACAACAAATGTATTATACATCAACCGGTGCTCAAGCTATTTATCAAGCAGGTGGTCAAAGTTACGTTCTTGCACAAGCAGCTCCAACTCCAGGATCAGTCACTACTACAGGTGCTCCAGTTATGTATTCAGCAGGTCCTACTTTACATAATGGTACAACTCAACAACATCCATCTCACTCTCAACAACAAATAGCCTATCAAATTACTGCTGCTAGTGGACAACCGACGGCTGCTGCTTATCAAATGATTAAACCAACATCAAATCCAAATGTTTCTGCACAACAACAATCAACAGGTGCTGCTGGTGTTGTTGCTCAACAACCTGCCCAACTTGTACAACGTTCAAATGTAATACCACAAGTCAGACATCATCCATATAGAAGTTAAATATTTGTTTGTTTTTCTTCTTGTTTATCTCTATTTGGTAACAGTAGAAAACCTGTGCTTGTTCACTTCATATATCCGAAAATTTCACTTGTACCTTCGTCTGATTATGTTTGTTTTGATTCAATATACTCATTACATTTGTACATTAAAAATACATTCAGCGATTGTTCGATAGACTATCTTCTGTTTTACAAAAGGAAACTTAAGACTTTGGAAAGAAAAAGAATCTTTTATTTCATTTTTATGAAAATTAGTTGAATGTTTTTTTTTGTATTTTATTCAGAATATAAACATCGATTTGAGATCGAAACCTTAAAATACTTGAATAAGAGAAATAAGTCAGCTAATAGATTTTCCTATATATGTTATTAAATTTATTTAAAAGATGATCATAAGTTCATTGTCAATTTATTTTTGTTTCTGCACTAATAAAAAACTTACTACCTTACAAAGAATCGATATCTGTTGTAATAGATAAAACTAAGAAAAAGCTACTAAATAGAATAGATTTCATTTTGAAAACATTTCATTGTAGACGGAAACAAAAAGACGAAATTTGGTAAAAAAAAAATTATATCTGTTTCGGTACAAAAGCATTCTTGTTTTTTTTCTCGATCTTTCGGTCACAATTGAATAATTCGATAACGAAACAGTATGTATAATGGCCTGAAATTTTCAGGTTATGTTTCTAACTGTTCACATCTTAACTACTCATTGTAAAAAAGCAATGTTCCGTACTAATTTAATTTCTTCATCATTTGAATTCTTTTTAATTACGCTTGATTATATATAGTAACCAAAGCCTTTCACAAGCTATAATAATACGTAAGAGTTACTGTTGATTTTTGTTTCAGAGTGGAAGATACAGCACAACATAATTAAATAGGATGCGACAGCGATAACTACTAACCCTGAATAATTATATGAAAATGAAGAAGTTTTCAGAAACAACGCCTTTTTAAGTCCAAACTTCTTCCTTGAGGAATATACTACGGTGATCGGTAAAAGGCTAACAACAGCATACTTTTGATATTTTTTCCTATAATTTTAAGCGCCTAGCTCATATTCAGATAATGGTTTTAATAGCCAATGGACCTTTCTATCTAATGCATTGCATGCTCGATGAACTCTGATGACAAGATTTCTAAAAGACAAACCGGACACGATAGTTGTCAGATGGCAGAAGCTATTTTTAGCAATGTCATATTAATGAGCACAAAATTCTGAATAAAATCTACGACGTGCTCTTAAAAAGTTAAAAGTAACACAAAAACCGACGAAATACGATTTCTGATAAATCTCGATTTTTTTTCTGCAGCGTTTGTGATACTTTTAACTTTATAACGGGAATGTCGTAGAAAACGTGGAAATGTAGTATTTTGTTTAGAATTTTGCCTTCCTCAAAAACAGTATTGTTAACAAAAAGCTTCTGGAACCTAAAAAGTATCGTTTTGGGGCCTTTAAAGAAACTTTGCCTTCATAGTTCATCTAGTATAGGATGCATTAGATATAAAACTCTGTTAGCTATTAAAATAACTATCTGGATTTGAGCTAATTGTTGAACATCATAGAAAGAAAATAAAAAATATGCTCTTGTTACAGTTTTCTCCAGCATCTTGGTAGCTCTATAGGTATATCAAATGATAAATGAGAAGTCACTTTTATTCAGAAATTTCTTTGTTGTTTCTCGGTGAGGTTATATAGCGTTCCAGCACAGATTTTGCATATAATGAATTTCTCCTTTTTTATCTAGGTATATTGAAACGTTTTCAAAATAAAACAATCTCTGTGTAATAGTGTTTCAAGAGTTTAATCATTGGAAAGAGAGAATCGAATCAAAAACTGAATGCTAAAAAATGCAGAAATAATATTAATAAAAGGTGGTTTATTTTTTATGTGGTCCGTCTCGTAATACATATATTTTGTTTGCAAAAGAATCTTGAATGTTTTTCTTTTAATGAAAGTTTATTTACAAAAGCAAATGCATGAAGACATTTTAAAAGTGTCTACGTATGACTCTCTTCAGGTTTTGCTGCGTCATGTAAACAAATTGAAGTCTATTGGATGATGTCTTAGTAACGAGGTCAATCACACTGTGACTTATTGAAAAAAAACATTTTTTTTTCTAACGATGTTAGGTAAATATCCGCAAATAATACGTTTCGCTGAATATTTGTCTCAAGTTTGCTGTAATTACGCAACAATTCTTTTGCTTTCTATTATATTCTTTTGCTGGTTGATGTCAAGAGTCAATTCAAGCATCATAAAATATCTTAAAGATTTCATTTTTAAAATCATCATGTTATATAATATAGAAAACTCCCATTCACACACAAATACAATGTTTTACAAGTAGAATGAATAAAATAGGTGTTACACTCATTATGTCTAAATAAAATAATGAAATCCTCTTATTTAGTAAGAAGAATAAGAAGCAAATCTCGAATGAAATAAAAGTTATAAGAGTAAAAATTAGAGTTAAAAGCACTGTTTATATATTTAAAAATAAATATGGTCTGTGTACGTTCATCACCGTGTAAGCAATATAACCGGAGCTAAAATATTTATTTGGACGGATACATGTACATATATAGTTAAGATATAGAATAATTTATCTGTACTACTAGAGTTCTTTTGAATTTGATTACAATTATTTTTTCATGAAAGATGATGGCCATAAATTGTGTAATGATTGTAAACGGTTTTCTACCCGATAAGCCAATGCAATTAAATAAAATGAATGAAAAAATAAAATTGTAAGAAATAATAAAATAAAAGTAGTTGCTCTAGTTGGATATATATGAAAATGATGAAATAATGATGATACTGTTTGAATAATTAAATTAATACAAGACATAGTTGTGTTAAGAATTTTTATTGGAATTCCATTATCATTTGCTTGTGTTATTGGTGGATTTATATTTGGAATTAAAGTTGATGATGAATCTGGTTCAGATGAGATCTGTACTGGTAGAGATACTGCTTGATCGATAATTGGAGTTGGTGATGCTTGTAAAGAAGTATTCTGTGTTCGACGAGTTATCAAAGAACTACTTCCTATATTAGAAAAAAATAATAAACCTTTTAAAATATATCTATTCAATAAAATATAAACGAAATCGTCGGTTAAATTATAGTTCTAGAAAATAGAAATGAATGAATAGAATTTAAAATCAACTGATACATGAAGTTTCAAAGCCAATATTAATTCTATTCGCTTGTTTAAAGATAAAGAATTTGATCATATTTAATCCAATGGCAAAAGATGCTTGCTAATATTAGATTCGAATATTTATTGCTCACACCTGAACGACTCTCAGACTGAGACTAAGAAGTTTCTTTGAAATTAGGAGTACGGTTTTGGTCCGAATTAAATATTTTTGTATTTGACAGATTGTCATATGGAGACGACAGATCTAGATTTGGACACGATTGAATCCCAACTTGGATTCTATCTAATCCAGAACGAGCTGTTCTTTATCCTCATCTGAAATCTTCGGCATATATGATTAAATAAAAATGATCAAAACATCGATCATTGATTGCCTACTCTCAGGAAAAAGGGCAACACAATGTTATTTCTTACTATTCATCCTTCCATCATTTTAATCTCAAAAAATACATAAAAAATTGTTACTTAGGTGAAAAGAAAATAATGTAATCTAAAAAGTAAATTCAACAAGCAATTTATAAATATAATTCATTATTGAAACTTGTCAAATCAATAATAACATAAAGAGCGAGGCTATAAATCTGCAGTTCTCTAGGATTTACCCTTTCGAAACTCAATCCTAAACTTTCTAGAAAAAAAAAATCTAAATGACTGTTGAAAAACTGCACTTATTGATCTACCTGTCAAATACATGATCAAATGAATAAGTAAAAAATATTTAAGAAAATCTTACTTTTTGATGCTACATCTTGCTTTTGTTCTTTTTTTGTACGACGTGAAACTCGAGTAGGTTTACTTGTATTAGGACTATTTCCATCTAATCGATTTGGTAATTTTTGATTAAGAATTGGATTTTTTTCAAGTACTTTGTCTCTATATGCATTAACTGCTTTTGTTGGTCTTTGTTTTTCATCACCAAATTTTGGTGAAACCGATTTAACTCGTCGTCTACCATTATTATTATTTCCATCTAAACACCGCGCTAAAGCTTCTTCCGGTCCAGATTCATTAATAGATTCAAATGAATCACGTTGTTCATGTTTCATATTAGAATTTCTGTTTGTTGATCTACCTGCTTCATTTGATAGTGAACAATTTTCATCATCACCCGATGGACTTTTATTATTTGTATATGATGACCAAATAGATGCTATTTTATAATAAGCATCATCACGTGAAAGAAATGATGCGTAAATAACTTTCTTTTTTGATTCTTTTAATCTAATGCCAATAGCTGTTGGAAATATGTATGCAACACGTTCTTTTGTAACATTGCCAATTTCTTCCCAACGATAAACATGTTTTGTTACATAATTTATAATACGTGAATAAAAACAAAGATAACGGTCTGTTATAAACATTTTTCCTTGTAATAATATATCACCTTGATACGCACAAACATAATAATCAATTAATTCTGGCATATCACTTGATATTTCAGATGCAAATAATTTACGAAAATATTTTATACGTCTTGGTAAACGTGTTCGAGTTTTTCTAGCATTGTTTTTTTCTTCAGATCGAAGAGGATCACCTTGTTCACTTTCTAAATCACTATCAGTTGTCGTTGATGATGATGATGATGCTGTTAAATTATTTTCTAATGGAGAAATCTTTTCATTAGCAGTAACAGTTTTATCATTAATACTATCCATTGATGATAATGATGAAATTTCTTCTCTTATTGTAGATTTTTTAGTAGATGCATTATGTGAATTTGTTTCACCAGATCCTTCTGTTTGAACAATCAGTGGTTCTGGTTTGCTATTCATAATTTCCATAATATCTACAAAGAAAATATTCTTTTAATTTTATTCAGTGCGAAGAAAAATCCTAAAACAATAGTTAAATATAAATACGATGAATGGCGCATGAAAAAGACTTATTAATAAATACACATGTATGTTTGTTTGGGTGACGTCAAAAAAAAATTATTCACTATTGTTTGATTACAAATGGTAAAAGCGCAAAATGTCATTTTTCTTGGTTGTCAATACTATTCTTATATAGAAATAAGTAAATATTAACAATAATTATTGATCAAGTTTGTCTTAATCAAGCTTTTTTCCATAGTTACATTTATAGTGATCTGAAATTGTAAAAACAACACCACCAATCAGCTTTAAACATCAGAGTCACCCCATATTATTATTTACGTTTTCTTCGTCTATTCGTTCTTTACAAAAAGAAGAAGAAGAATATGTCAGACATACCGTAGTTCTCGCTCTGCTTTTCTTACTTATTTCGTATTTATTTTTCTCCTTTCCCAGAATGACTCTTATGTTAATTGATGACCAAATAAAGAGCTGAGACGAACTGTACAAAGTTTATTTCATTCAGCGGGAGCACGAAAAAAAAACATAAGAAGGAAAAAGACACACATCATGGACAAGGCAACGTGCAATTTCAAGAAATTCTTGCACAATCAATTGAAACATAGAATTGCAGAACATAGATATTCTACATTAAAATCCATTGTTCTCCGTCTCATCAGTAAACATCCAGTTTGCATTTTGATCCATTGATTGAAAACGAAAAAAAAAAAATATTACAAACACATAATAGGGTCATATAAATTATTCTCATAACTATAGGTCTCCACAAGTGTATATCTGCTCGAGTTCATTAGAACGAAATTAAAGAATAAGTTAAAATGAGTAGGTACATTCGGGTCAAATTAATGTTCTCACTATTCAACGAACAAATTTAAAATGTAAGTTGTCATTGGCAACATGTCTCGAATGTATAGAGTTTCGATATAAATGTAAGAAAATTATTTACAGTTAGTTTTTTTATTGTTAACTTGACTGAAAAAATCGTAATATTTCAACTGAATGTTGAATAAAGAATAATGATGATTTTATTTGAATTAGCAAAGCTACTGAAATTTAGGATGACAATGGGAAGAAGAAGGCTTCTTCCTTTGAAAATTTGCGTGAGAACTTTCATTGATTTTAAGGAAATTTGAGTTACATTTTACTTTGATGGGGAAAGATTTGGACTACGTCTTTTTTCCTTTCCTTAAAAATTTTCTGATTGCTTCTCTTTAATTAATTTATACGATCAGGCAATAATTTTTTTGAAATCTTTCTAACAACAGAGTTTGAAGTTATTTATTTGATTTCTCAAGTAATCAAGCAAGTTCTGTCACATTCGACGTTAATAACTAGATTCTAGAAACACTGTAAAGAGGATTCTCACGAAAAATGGCATTGCTTGTGTACCTCATGCGATATTCAAAACTTATAAAGGCATTTAAAAACTTTGTTGTCGAAAACGGTAAAGTGAGAAGCCTATTTTTTGAAAATTGGTTTTCGGATGCGAATGTCCACATCCAAGAATTGCTTTATTTTTAAAAATCAACGAAAGCATGACCAATTTTAGTGGCAAAAACATTAATAAACTTATGAGTTACACAAGAAAAAAAATGATTCTTACACAAGAGACTAGAAGAAAGTAGAATTTTCTAGGAATCTGTAAGTATTTGCACTACGAATGAAATTGTTTTGAGTTCTAGTTGAATCTATGAGCTTTTCTGAAAGTCCCACTTTTTATTCAATACGATAAATTTATATTACTATCAGATATTCAAACAGACTTTTCTTCTCAATTTCGGCTGCATCAATACACTCTTCTCACGAATGTGGCAAAGCTTTTGACCCCACTCGCTGTGATCTTTTTGCACCGCTACTACTTTGTAAAACATCTTTACAAAGCATTGATTGTTGTTCATAGTCATTTCTGTTAAGCTGATGTCTTAATTGTGTTCGATTATCTAATGAGTGAGTCGCTAGGGGAACGACAAAAGAAAATAGTATCGATGTAAGAATAGGTATGAAATATTTGTACAAACTGCAGACGCTATCAAAAATACAAAATAAGGTAGAGTTTGAAACGAATATTATACGAACATCCATTTTCGGTTGCACTTTTTGTTTTCAACTGAAATGTGACCGGTTTTGTCGATATGAACATCCATGGTTACATTGCTTTTAATTCTAAAACACCTTGTATAGGTAAAAGTCAAAGTAATCATGTGTTTCCATGTCCACAAAACAAGTCATACTCCAGTTGACAACAAAAAGCATAAGATGTTCATATAATATTCGTTTCGAGTTTCACCTTATTTGGCAACCTTGGCAGTGACCATCGGTTTTAACTATACATTCTTAAAAATTCGACTATGCTTTTTTAGACATGTTATGGACAACTTATTTTTTAAAATTTTATTCGTTTGGTAATGAGAGGATTAAAATTATCTGAAAATGTCTACTCTTGCTTTTAGCTTATAATACAAACTTTTCCATTGTTGAAAGATAATATTAAAAAATATTTAATTTTATTTCGAGATGTTTCAAAAATCAAACAATGTTTTACAGGTTTTATGTGAACAACTATTTAGTAGGATTTCATTCAGAAAATAACTACAACAGAGCACACATACCATTATTTAATACGCCAAGAAATTTGCGACGCGTCGACAAAGGAAGCGAATAGCTTTATAGGTAATACAAATAACATGTGACAATCTACAGTCAACGGTCGTCCTACATGACTTATGTGCTACACTTCACTGAATAGATAAAAGGGTTTTTGCATTAGATTTTCGGTTCATTATTTCCTTTCTATAATCAACATAAATCAAAAATGTTTCATAGGTATGCTTTAATATACATAAATGAATACTATGTTTTCAGTACAAGTCCTTCGATTATAACTTCAACAAATAAAAATATTATTTATGTTACTTAATTTTTTAAGATTCATCAATCTTTGAAGGTACATCGTTATTAATGACAAATGAACATAGAAAATTTAATTTATTACACCTTTTGAAAATTACTTAATAGATAGAAACTCCTTGTTTGTTATATCGATTTTCTAGTTTTGTGTATTTAAAAAAAGTTTTTTTTTTTCTCAATATACATTTTAAGTTATACTTTATAATTATACGCACGAAAAAAAAAATGAAAAAATTAGTTTATGGCCTAAAATTAAGTTTTATCATACTATTATCAGTACTCTATCGGTGTGTCATTAACAATGATTGCGAAAAAATGAAGAAGTTAAGAGTTTATTATAAGTATTTTTTTTTTGTTGTACGTTGCAAAAAGAAATGTTTTCTTACTTGTCAACAATAAAAAAAAATGGAAGTAAATCGAACGATATTGGACTGACGAACTTATGCGTTGAAGTAGTATAACGAAAAAAAAAAACAAACTTCGACTATTATATGCTGACTAATTTGATGTTATGATGCAGAAATGAAAACATCTAACGAGAGAAAGCAGAAATAATACTCTATAGTTATAATAAAAATAAATGATATAAATAGTAAATCGAAACTACCAAGGCAAATATACATATTGTATTTATATAAATGTTCATTTGTCCTCAATTATGTACTAGATAGACGAAAGAAGAAAGCCCAAAGAGATAAATCATCTGAGGTTCATGTGTCTAATAAATCTATTTCAAAATAGATGTCGTTGGATTATTGATATGATTCTATTTTCTTTGACAAGTGACTTCGAACGTTTCAATCTTACTTGTTAACTTGTACGATAGTGGTTTTTTTTAATGTGACGAAAGCAGATATATATATATCTCAGTATGATCAAACTAAATATTGATTTACTTTTCCAATGAAAACCGTGCGTGGCGATTGATTTGCAGTGTCACTGTGATTTACGTATTCTATTAAATTTACTCAAAAGAAAAACAACGTCGTCAATACAATGTTGTTAGAAGTCAAAAAAGAATCTCTTCTACGAAACAAATACAAATTAGTCAGGTATTGTTGTGTTAAATAATACGTCAAGAATGTTTAAAAATATCCTTTTCGTTATTTTTAACGACGCACAGAACTTCAAATGAAATAAAATGCATAGGAATAAAACGTCATTATAAATGTGTGTATATATACATTTAGTAGGTTTTATGAATTTTGTGCTAACTTTATCAATCAAATATTGAAAAAAAACATTTGCGGAAATAAAACTAACAGTTAATTGATAATTTATAAAAACTGATGTAGACATTGTAGGAGCGAGGTTAATTAAATGTTGCGACATGCAATTAATCTTTTTTTATTGCTATATATATCTCGTATGTATTACTCATAAATAGGAACATACTATCAATATAATATGCGAAAATAAATTCTTTATTTTTCAACTAAAGAGAAAGCTATAAACAAGTGAAAGATGAACTTCGAAGTGTATTTGATGTTAGCTACAAACCGTTCTACTCATATCATCTTTTCAAATTTGCGTGATAGAATTTATAGTTAGTGATTATAGTGAAGAAGGAAGAATCGCTTGTCAAGAATATAAATTAATTATTTGTACATATTCAACAATAATGAATAAATTATACAAATATAAATATAACTATAAACTTTTAGACTCGAATTCATTTTGAAATTCCGATTTTTTTTCAGTTTTGGTGTTTTCTGCTCTTTTCTATTTTTTATGCAATAAAAGATATTTATTATGTATTAGAGCTCAAGTCATGTAGAGGCGACAGCTTTTAATAAATAGAAGCGATGATTCATTATACAGACCCTTGATATTTTTCTTATCTTGATTTTTTTATATTTTTCTCGTTTTAATGTTAACTTGTGCATATCAGCTATTATTTGCTCAAAGCGACTTAATTGTTGTTATTCGTGTAATAATAAAAGAAATGGAGATTGATTTAAGAACTAAATGTTCATTAGAAGATGATGTTGTACATGATGCCTATCAAGCGAGATGGTCAAAAAATAAGTATACTTTACTCAGAGATTCTAGAATAACTTATTGACGATAATCCTTTGTCAAAGGAGCCTGAATATTATATTAAGAATGCAAAAGAATTATGGAGAAGTCGACAGAAAAGAAGATGAAGATGTTGATATCAATATAGAAGAAGACGAGAACATTGAATAACTATTATTAAACACAAATATTGGAAAAAGCACTTCTGGACTCGATGATTAGAGTACTTGATAAACATTAGATAAACTATTTTTCAATGTAAATCGGTTGTCATCTATGTCAATATAGAAATTTGAAAAGTTCATGTTAAATTTTTTTTGTACAAATATTTTCTTTTAAACTTTTCATAAATTCCGTGACATGATCTGTTAGTAATATTATACCATGACATAGTTTATAGTGTCCTCTAGCAAAATTCAAGTTTTGTTTAGTCAAATAAAAAAAGAAATTGTTTTAGCAGAAATGATTGAACAAAATCATTCCTCAATCTAAGTTTGAAACCAAAAGACTGTAGTACATGGATCAATAATGAAAGTTTATCATAAAAAACCTCAATGAGATATGTATTGGACACAAGTCAAACATAAGTTTAATAACTCGTCCACCTTTTTTCTTCTATGTTCTTATTTAAGACAATTTTTCTGTATACACAAAAAATATTTATTAGTAGGTATGAATAATAATATTATACATTAAGAATTACTATCTGTCACCAAGTTGCTCAGTCTTATTTGTTGTAATGTGATTATAAATGCATTCCAAATGAGAAAAATATACTTACAGTTATTGTTTTCTTCGTGTCAGACAAAGTCCATTTAATTTTTCCTAACAGTATCATAGAATAATTTTCAAAGAACACTGAAATCCAATGATCACTTGCGATTCACATTGAGTCATTGACATTCATCCTATATATCTGTCATTCAAGCATGAAATTATCATGATGTCATTTTTGTTTTCTTATCTCTTACGTATATATAAAAATGAATCTTATTGCTTATTGAAAGTATCGATAATAAAAAGAAAGACAGAAGTGATTGTTAATGATGAATAATTATACGAGTGACTGGTTTTCTCGTTATCCTAATGAAAAAGAAACTTTTTTTTCTCAATAAAACGATAGAAAACGAGAGACTGTGAAAGTATGGGATATACCTCTCATGATATGATCGAACATTCAGCTAGCTTGATGTGAGACAATCAATATCAATACATATCAGTCTAATGTAGATACCTATGCTTTATGGGTATAATACTAACATCCAATATAGCTATATCATTCACATACTCACAATCATACAACACTCTTTATAGTTAATAATTGTGTTTCTCTAGCGTCAGAATATACGAACAAAAGTATCGAAACAATGAGCGCGAAAATCATTAATTATGAAGAAGATAATGTTTGTGCTAGACTTAACAAGGGATGGATGTAAACTCAATAATTCGACAAGGCAACATCAAGCAACCTTCGGTTTTCAGCAATCGAAAGACAAGAACTTCAGATGTCTTCACAAAACATTCAAAAAACAAATGCATGAAAATGGTGTTCCGTTTTTATGTAATTTTGGTTTTGATTTGTGCTTCCGATAGAGAGACTTCAGAAATACAATTTAAAGCACGGTTCAATTGATTATCTTTTCACCCATCCATGCTGCGTAAATAAAACTATGCATCTATTTGATCAAGCTATACAGATTTGTGTTGGTTTTTAGCAAATTTTCTGACTTTTTTATTGAAATTTTCTTCAAACACAACACCGATCTTACGCATGTTTTTGACTGTCTTGAGCAAGATAAGAGGTTTTAATATAATTTTGTCGTGTACATTATGAGACAAAAAGTAGTCTAGAGTTCAATTCTTTGAATTTCTGAAAACTTCCAGATCCCTAACTGTTCTGTTATCGAATTATTGAGCTTCCATTTACTCCTGTTTAACTTTGATGTGGACATTGGTGTAAGTCACGCCATACTGACTAGTTAGTTACATTACTTCCCAATAATTGAAACCAATTCATCATTGTCTAGTAAAAATAGCAAGACTTTTTAGTTTTTAGTGTCCTTATGAGATACTGTCCAACTCATGAATTCTCTGGAATTTCGTGAACTTTACACGACAACTGTAGAAAACCTTACAAAATACAAAAAGTATTACCTATGGTGAAAGAAAAACATCTATTTGAACACGCTTAAAATTTATGTTGATATTTAATTGATTCAACATGTCAAAAAAGCCCTCTATCAACAAATAAATAATGAATACTCGACTATCCTAATGTCTTTGGCAATGCCATTGAGATCTAGGAATCACGAGTCTACCTCGGACAAAAAAAACGGCCTTTTTCCATTTCATTTTTGCATCACTTAATAAGTTGTTTTAGAAAAACAAAATATACCAGGAGATGCAGCGTGAAAAGAACTACAATGTGCAAAGTAAAGCTTATTTTAATTTTGTACTTTTTGTTTTCAAAA